AATCGATCAGTCGTTGGGGCCGTAATGCAAATTGAGTTCACACGAGGTTGGTATCACAAAATATGCATAAAATAAAATAAAATGATAACTCAAAAGTTCAAGGTATCAAAAAAAAGGATAACAATACTTTATATCTAGTTGCTGGATACATAGGACTGCGTCTATCTCCCGACCAGCTATATGGATTGTGACACGTTGTTTTTGTTAGGTGAGTTTTAACATCTTAAGTTGTCTGTTCTTTAAGAAATTGGTTCTTGGTGTGTCTTCAGGCGATAGTCGAAAAACTTATTTGGGTGGTATGGATCTAAGTCGCTCTTCAAAATAAATTGTTCTTGGATTGAAGATGAGTTCGGAAATTGCGCGAATCTTTCAAGTCAGCTCTGCGAGGCCTGCTTCAACTGAGCACACTGGATTGAACTCCTCTGAACTGATTTTTGCTCGCTGCGACTTTGCTTATATGGACGTCGGCCAAAACCGAGGTGGGTTTGTCGAGGTTGGAGGTTCCTCGATAATTCTAAACCCATATCCACTTCTTTTATTTTTGGTCAGGAATTTTCCACTCCTTTCCATTTTTGGAAGTCTTCTCTTACTCCCACCTTCTCTTATTTTCATATGGATATCTCACCATACTTCAGAGGGGCGTCAACGGTTCTCCCCACTTCTTCGTAGCAACTTTTCATACCTATCCTCTAAATGGGCGGCGGCGGCTCTCCCCCTTGCGTCACGTGATCACCGCCGCCTGGCCCTCGTTGTCATTCGGCCAATAGCGTCCAACTGGGTGGGTGTAATCCGGCTAGCTTTGTTTTGAGAAAAAAAATATATCTTGCTAAAAAAAAATTATCTTTTTCTTTTCCTTTTCTTTCCTTAATCGCAGCTTTCATCCCCAATGTCACCTGGGATCTATCAATGCCAATTATCAAGTGGGGTAGTCGTCTAGCCAAACACAGTCGATTGTCGTCTCGAAAAACAGTTTCATTTTCCTAGCCGGATTTGCATTCTTGGTGCCAATTTCTGATAACATAGTTTTATTATCATAACCGAATTCTAACACCCATAGATGTCTTCTCAAAACGGCCAAGACGTGACCCAGGGTTGGCTTCGTGTGCGGTTAGCAGACGGCCTATTAAATACTTTCCCGACAATATTGTTTGCCCCCTCTGACACAGTTAATTTTTCTTATCTATCCAAAGCTCTGTATTCACCTGTTCTTTGTCAGACAGTCCTACGACACTGGTGGTCAGAATTTTCACCATCTTTTTCCATTATCAAAATAACATTGTCGAATTGTCTCGGAGTTTTAGCTAGCCGGTCTGTGGTTTGTTAATTAGATGTTCGCCAGCATTAAGTGGCTGTTATCTATCCCCGATAACACAAGTCCGCCACCAGAACACAGTCGATTTTCTTATCCATTTAGAATTTTTCTGCAATGGTAATGAAACCTTTCATCATTTGCTACTTATCAAAATAAAATTGTCAATTATATATATATAATTATTTATTTAAAAATATGTTTCCATCGCTACATAAGAGTTCTCATGTTTCAAAACAAGTGCCGAAAACTTCAATATAATTATTTGAATTAAATTGAATTAAAGTATCACACTCTGTTCCATCTTCCAGCGAAATATATTTATTTATTTTTTTTGGAATAACTAATTCTTGAAATTTACGCGTTTTATAAGCATATTCATTATTAAAATTAAAATTACTATGGTAACGGCTAGAGCAATTATTTAAAAATGGGGCGTAAGGGTGTTAATAATTTGTATCAATATCTCAGTTACATTCAAAGAGGTCAAGTCAGGATAAGGTTGGGGTGTCTAAATTCAAAGCGGAAGATGACATCGTTTCGTCTGGTTAAGTGTCTATAGAGATTTATTTATTTTTTTTATCTTATTTTTTTTTCCTGAAAGGGTTTCGTGTATATAAAAAAAACCTGTCATAATTCGCAAACATTTGTTTTTTGACGACTTCATAAACTTTTTTTTTTGTTTTTTTTTATTGTGTAGTATATTTAAACTTTTTATTTAGACTATGGAGTTTAAAATTTGTATTTATTATTATATTGTTTGTTCGTTTTTTATGCTAAATATTCAATACGAAAATTTGATGATGTCGGCAAATCCGTTAACTCATGTCTATTGTTTAATAAATTTTCATTATTTAGAAACTTAATAATGTGTAGTTTTTCATGTAGGCATAAAGGGCATGGGTCATCCCAAGTTTTATAAGTTCTAGTTTTGTTTATAATTTTCCATTTTACTTTTGGTGTTTTATTCATTTCCTTCAAATGCCAAAAATATTTAGATAGAGATGTCTGAATTCTTTTTTTTATTTATATTGTTTAAAGAGCACGTATGCTGCCTCCACCTTTATATCTATCTATCTATCTATCTATCTATCTATCTATCTATCTATATATATATATATATATATATATATATATATATATGTGTATGTATGTATGTATGTATGTAAACACAATGAGCCTTAGATATGTAGGGAACATTCTGAAAAGGTGTTTTGTTTTTCTATATGATGCGTTCATTCAGGACGTCGGCGATCGTGACTCTCCTAAATTTCAGCTCTTAGTAAAGTGTGTTTTTTGTTATCTCCCCTAAACCCTGTTCTGCCTTAAATCTCCCTAAGTACACTATATATCTGAGGCGTTGTTTTACTATGTTCCTCTTGCCTTCAATCTGAACTATGAGTACGAAATTTTACAAACCCTATTCCCTCATTATATTCTATAAGAATTTCACCTGTTTTTTTTGTTTTTTATGCCAACTATATGTTTTCTGTTTTTTTCTCTTTTCTCTTAAACCTTGTCGTTGTTCCTACATTCAGCTCATCGTATTCTCAGCATCCTTCTGTAGAACCACAATTTTTTTAATCAAAGTCTCTTTTTCATCTGCAAGAAGATTGTCCAGCATACAATGCCATATAGGAGGACTGATATTACATATAATTTCAATGCACTATTTTTTGTTTCCCATGCTTCAAGTCTCTTCTTCATCTGTAAGGAGATTGTCCAGGTTTCACTGCCATATAGGAGGACTGATATTACATAAAAGTCCAGTCCATTTTTTTTTTGTTTCCCATGCTTGAAATTTCTTCTTCATCTGTAAGGAAATTGTCCAGCATTCACTGCCAGATAGGAGGACTGATATTACATAAAATCCAGCCCTCTTTTTTTTGTTTCCCATGCTTCAAGTGTCTTCTTCATCAGTAAGGAGATTGTCCTGGATTGACTGGCAGATAGGAGGACTGATATTACATAAAATCCAGCCCTCTTTTTTGTTTCCCATGCTTCAAGTGTTTTCTTCATCTGTAAGGAGATTGTCCATCATTCACTGCCCTATAGGAAGACTGGTATTACACAAAAGTTATGTTCTCTTTTCTTTTTTTCTCTTGCTTCAAGTCTCTTCTTCATTTGGGAGGAGATTGCCCGGCATTCACTGCCTTATAGGATAACTGATATTACATACAATTCCAGTCTTCTTTTCTTTGTTTCTAACGACATTTTCTTTTTCTTGATACTTTTCAGTCTCTGTTTGATAAAACACTTCACAGACATTTAATATTTTTTTGTACTTGTTTGATTTTATCTTTTGCTAGCCGATAATTCGCAAATCTGCGCTGTTCATTTTCCAAACAACCATGTATTAAGACTTCTTTAAATTGATGTTATTCCTTTTTTTTCTTGCTTTCTGTTATTAGCTTCTGTGAGAGTTATTTTCATTTTCATTCTATGTTTGTGATTAACACCGTGTTATCTGCATATCGCTGTTGTAGTCGGCAATAACAAATCCTGGCAGGACTTCTATTTCTCTTAAAATCCCTTCACTGGAGGTTGAGTAAGTCCGGTGAGGACACACTTCCTTGTCTGACACTTCCTTCTATTTCAGTATATTTACTGAACTTATAAAGACGGATGTCTGCGAGTATAGGTTCTGTAATTTTCTAATATATTTTACAAATATGTTACCTAGCAATTCCAGCAGTTCCTTCTGATGAAATATAACCTCTTATGTATAATCTATAAATCACAAATACACATCCTTCTGCATTTGTATTCCGGTTTCTGATACTCCAGATAATATATATCTTATTCCGAATTCTAATGTCTTTTACGAACCCGCACTTTTCTTGTCCTATTTCCGGTCTGATTCTACTGTGCGCTCTCTTCATCAGAATTCAGAGGATATGTTTCAATTGATAGTACTAATATTAATAATGTATTGCTGGAGGATAAACAGACATGCATTCTTTTCAGTGTAAATTGAACATTCTTCCATTCATAACATTCTAAGCGGTTTAATATGACGAGGGATTAAGTCACGAAATGACTAGACATCATCTTAAATGAAGACAGCTCTAACTTTAAGACGAACCATTCTGAATCATCAGCGATGACAGGTGCTTAGAGACGGCCCTGAAATCTGACACACTTCAGCTTTCAAGTGCGTAGAATTCCATTAAATTATTCCTGAGTAAAGGTACTCGTTGGAATGGCTGTTATTTTAAAGTTCTTTTTGAAAAGGTAGAAAAGATGAAATATATTCTTTAACAAGTCGAAAGAACTAGAACTAAAAATAAATAAAATAATGTGCGATCATTGAAGTTAAGCAACGTCGAGACTGGTCAGTAGCTAGATGGATGACCACTTGGGAAAAACAGGTGTTGTAAAGTTAGGTGTACAGGTGGTGAGATTACGTCACTATCTCAATAAGACACCGATTCCTGTACGATAATTGAAGTTAAGCAACGTCGAGCCTAATCAGTGCCTAGATGAGCGAGTGAGCTTGAATGCCAGATGTTGTAAGCATGCGTGTTCAGTTGGTGTAGCTTACGTTAATATCACGCAGTGACACCGGTTTCCACAAGATCACAGCGTTTAAGTAACTTCGAGCCTGATCAGTACCTACATGGATGATCGTTGCGAAAACAAGGAGCTGCAAGACTGGGTCTTCAGGTGGTGTGGCTTATGACCACGTAAGGATGAGACACCGGGTCCTGTACGAACATTGAAGTTAAGCAACGTCGAGCTTGGTCAGTACATAGATGGGTGACCACTTGGGAAAAACAGATGTTGTAAACTTAGGTGTACAACTATTGTGAATTATGTCCATATCGCGATAAGCACTGGTTCCTGTACGATCATTAAAGTTAAGCAACGTCGAGCCTCTTCAATGACTAGATGGATGAGTGACATCTTGGAATACCAGGTGTTGTAAGCTTATGCGTGCGGATGGTGTAGCTTACGTCCATATCCCGTAGTGACACGGGTTCCTGCACGATCACTAAAGTTAAGCAACTTCGAGCCTGGTCATTATCGACATGGGTGATCGCTTGTGAATACCCGATGTTGCACGACTTAGGTGTGCATGTGGTGTGGCTTACGACCATATCACGATGAGACACCGATTCCTGTACGATAATTGAAGTTAAGCAACATCGAGCCTTGTCAGTACCTAGATGGGTGACTACTTGGAAAAAACAGGTGTTGTAAAGTTATGTGTACAGGTGGTGAGGTGTGTCCATATAATGTTTAAACATCGGTCCCGTACGAATACCGAAGTTAAGCAACGTCGAGCCCGCAAGATTCGGTGTGCGGGTGGTTTTGATTTCGAACATATCACGATGAGACACCGTTTCCCATAAGATCACAGCGGTTAAGCAACTTCGAACCTGGTCAGTATTTAGATGGGTGACCTTAGGAATACCAGGTGATGTAAGCTGGTGTATGCGTGCGTTGTGGCTTATGAACACATCACGTTGAGACACTGGATCACATACGTTCTCCGAAGTTAAGCAACTTCGAGCCTGGTCAGTATCTAGATGGGTGTCCGCTTTAGAATACCAGGATGGAGTGAAATTTTTCAACCTTTCCAATGATAACTATGTGATTGATCTTGGTTGCTTTTATACCTTTTCGGAAACAAGTGACACCGCAATATTTTCCTTAATTCATACCCACCCCTGTTCAACCGGGTACAGACCACATGGCATCTCAACTTCCCGATCAGTATTGGCTGGGTCAATGTGTACAGGGAGTACGATGTTGAAAGACGCGAAACCCCTAGTGAACCTCGGCTAGAACCATCACTGCCTAAAGTATCAAATAGATGTATTTTACGAAACTGTTCTCTTTCCTTATATTATTTTATAGTGTTCAGTTACTCATATTTGTTGGAATTTTTGGATACCCTGGTGTACTAGTGAGCCAGCCAAAATGAGCTGACTCATTTTATAGTTCAACAATAGAAGGATTAACCAATCAGAAGGCTCAAAATATTCAATGCGACGTGTATAAAGGCGGCCATGTTTTTTTTTTTCCGAATATGCACTGCCAACCTTTGATAACCAGGACGAGGCTCCGCCGAAGGTCAGAGTCTCGGTCGGGGAGGTTTACTGCCCCTGAACACGTTTATACGCGTTTGAATAGGGAATATATTTAGCCGAGCCTACGGGCTCGGAGATCCCACGTTAATCCCGGCCTTGTGCCACATCTAACCCTCGTTGGGTGTGACTAAATATAACTGCCAGCCTTTGATAACCCAGATGCAGCTCCGCCGAAGGGCAGAGTCTCGTTCGGGGAGGTTTACTGCCCCTGAACCCCTTTATACTCGTTCGAATAGGGAATATTTTTGGCCGGGTCTACGAGCTCGGAGATCCCACGTTAATCCCGGCCTTGTGCCACATGTAACCCTCGCGGGGGAGGGTGGCTAAATATCACTGCCAGCTTTTGATAACCCGGACGCGGCTCCGCCGAAGGACAGAGTCTCGTTCGCGGAGGTTTACTGTCCCTGAACCCCTTTATACGCGTTCGAATAGGGAATATTTTTGGCCGGGTCTACGGGCTCGGAGATCCCACGTTAATCCCGGTCTGGTGCCACATGTAACCATCGTGGTGGGTGGCTAAATATCACTGCCAGCCTTTGATATCGAAGACTGTAGAATTACGGAACAGCTGCTGGTGGTATTGGCGATATAGTCAAATTCAGTAGAGTGTCTGACTCGAGAGTATTAATCTTTAACGTTGTTTCATTGAACAGATTACGTACTGTGCTGTATTCTATATTCATAGACTATGGTGAAGATGGTCAACAATATTCTCATTTTTTTTCTGTTTTTTATTCACACTCAGTAATCCCTTGCGTCTTAGTGGCTTCTTTGAATTGGCTGGCTTGAAATGATTAAAAAAAAACACAATTTCAATGAAATATTTAAAGAAAAATCACAGGAAAGCTATATTGCAGTAGCGGTTATGTAACCGAAGCTGAAATACCTGTCTTGTATCGTCTTGCTTCCTGAGAAGTGGGTATCGTGTAAGAACAAGCGACATAAATTCAGAGGGCCCTACTTTGAAGGAGATTCGAGGTTTGTACATTCTTGAAAGAAATAAATGTATTTTTCGAAAAATTTTAAAAATTCTTCTATTGTCGTAGACGTCGTGTAATAAATGTTTGAGATATTATTACGACTTTGGTGTTAATATTTTTGAAATGGCAGTTGCTATAGTTGTGACAAAAAAAATTAAATGAACCGGAAATAAACACTATTCAATAGATACATATTTTTCGTCAGTGTTTCAACTCATAAAACTTCAGGATAGTATTACGACTTGCTAAGTTATGGCTGTTGAATTAGTTTTGAGTACTCTCACACAAAAGTAACTAAAATGAAAATAAAAGCCATCCTCGTCAAATATTACTACTTGCAGAATCCGAAACATGTGAAGGTTTTACTAACTGAACTTTTTGATGTAGCATAACATTTAATGAATAAATAATCCAATTACGAGTTCCAAGACGACAAAATACCTATGGAAATTGCGTATTTAAAAATTTGAGTTTATCTTACAGAAAACATAGCAAAGTCTATCGTAAGTTAGAATTCAGCTCACTATTTAAATAAGAGGGTACAAATGAAAATATTTAAAATTCAAGTTTTATTTCCAATTCACTGAAGCAGACGTTAAATACTTGAGAGTTTTATCGCCTTCTATGACGTGCAATTTTTTCTTTCTTCCTTTAAAACCAAACAGAGATTTTGATATATATTTTCTGCCATTTTCCCTCGCATTGAAACAGAAATGGTCCATTGTTAGTCTGACGTAATGACGGGTAGATCTTAACAACTTAAAAATAATATAAAAATGGCGATCATAAATATGAACACAGGTCATTATTTAAAGAAGTTGGTACAAATGAAATGATTTAAAATTGACATGTTTTCCATTTCAAATATGCAGACACTAAAGACATGACAGTATTATCACCTGCTTTACATTCTCTTCGCTTCTCTTTCTTTCTTTCTTTCTTTCTTTCTTTCTTTCTTTCTTTAAGCTGAAGTATCTTTCTATTACAAAGGGAGTATCTTCTGTGTAATACGCACATAACTCAGACAATGGTATCTGTAATCTGTAATTGGAGATTCGTCTCTAGTTGTACTGGTCAAACTCTCTGACTCCGGGCAGAGAGGATACCCAGACGAGGCTATGTAGAAGAGCAAAATCTCGTTTCGGGAAAAAGCTTCCCGATTCCGTTTTATACTGGATCTACAGGGAAATTTTGGTCGAACCTACGGATTGGATACCTCACATTAAATTCGGCCTTGTGCCACAACTGACCGCGTGGAGTGGTTGGTAGATATCCTGCAGTTGAAGACTAGTCTCCAGCTATGCTGGTCAAACTCTCTGTCTCCGAGTAGAGAAGATCCCCAGACGCGGCGATGTCGAAGGGCATAGTCTCGTCTGGGAAAACAGCTACCCGATCCCGTTTTATCCGGTTTCTACGGGGAAATTTTGGCAGAACCTACGGATGGCAGTTCTAGTCTCCAGATCAAACTCTCTGCCTCCGAGTAGAGAAGCAGACGCGGCTATGTCGAAGGCAGAGTCTCGTCTCTAAAAAACTGATCCCGTTTTCGGGTTCCGGGGAAATTTTGGCAGAACCTATGCGTGCAGTTGAACTGATTGTCAAACTCTCTGCCTCGAGTAGAGAAGATCCCCAGACGCGGCTATGTCGAAGGGCAGAGTCTCGTCTGGGAAAACAGCTACCCGATCCCGTTTTATCCGGTTTCTACAGGGGAAATTTTGGCAGAACCTACGGGCTCGGATTTGCAGTTGAACCTACGGGCCTCAGGATAGATCCCCACATCGGGCAGAGTCTCGCGATCCCGTTTTATCCGGTTTTGAAATTTTGGCAGAAAAACATCTGCAGTTGAAAACTAGTCTCCAGCTATGCTGGTCAAACTCTCTGCCTCCGAGTAGAGAAGATCCCCAGACGCGGCTATGTCGAAGGGCAGAGTCTCGTCTCTTAAAACAGCTACCCGATCCCGTTTTATTTTATCCGCTATGCTGGTTTGCCTACGGCTATGGAAAAGTCTCGTTTTAAAACAGCTAGAACCGTTTTATCCGGGCTCGGATTTTGGCAGCGGGCTCGGATAGCCCACATCGTGCAGTTGAAAACTAGTCTCCAGCTATGCTGGTCAAACTCTCTGCCTCCGAGTAGAGAAGATCCCCAGACGCGGCTATGTCGAAGGGCAGAGTCTCGTCTCTTAAAACAGCTACCCGATCCCGTTTTATACGGGTTCTACGGGGAAATTTTGGCAGAACCTACGGGCTCGGATAGCCCACATCGTGCAGTTGAAAACTAGTCTCCAGCTATGCTGGTCAAACTCTCTGCCTCCGAGTAGAGAAGATCCCCAGACGCGGCTATGTCGAAGGGCAGAGTCTCGTCTCTTAAAACAGCTACCCGATCCCGTTTTATCCGGTTTCTACGGGGAAATTTTGGCAGAACCTACGGGCTCGGATAGCCCACATCGTGCAGTTGAAAACTAGTCTCCAGCTATGCTGGTCAAACTCTCTGCCTCCGAGTAGAGAAGATCCCCAGACGCGGCTATGTCGAAGGGCAGAGTCTCGTCTCTTAAAACAGCTACCCGATCCCGTTTTATCCGGTTTCTACGGAAAATTTTGGCAGAACCTACGGGCTCGGATAGCCCACATCGTGCAGTTGAAAACTAGTCTCCAGCTATGCTGGTCAAACTCTCTGCCTCCGAGTAGAGAAGATCCCCAGACGCGGCTATGTCGAAGGGCAGAGTCTCGTCTCTTAAAACAGCTACCCGATCCCGTTTTATACGGGTTCTACGGGGAAATTTTGGCAGAACCTACGGGCTCGGATAGCCCACATCGTGCAGTTGAAAACTAGTCTCCAGCTATGCTGGTCAAACTCTCTGCCTCCGAGTAGAGAAGATCCCCGGCTATGTCGAAGGACGCGATCCCGTTTTATGTCGAATTGGGCTACGGGCTCGGAGCCCACATCTCGTTCTAGTCTGCTGGTCAAACTCTCTGCCTCCGAGTAGAGAAGATCCCCAGACGCGGCTATGTCCAGATCCCGTTTTAAAACAGCTACCCGATCCCGTTTTATACGGGTTCTACGGGAAATTTTGGCAGAACCTACGGGCTCGGATAGCCCACATCGTGCAGTTGAAAACTAGTCTCCAGCTATGCTGGTCAAACTCTCTGCCTCCGAGTAGAGAAGACCCCCAGACGCGGCTATGTCGAAGGGCAGAGTCTCGTCTCTGAAAAACAGTTTTACCGGTTTCACGAAATTTTATACGCGTTCTACGGGTAGAGAAATTTTGGCGAGAGTCTCGTCTCTTAAAACAGCTGACGTTTTATCCGGTACCCCATGGCAGAATACGGGCTCGGAAATTCAGTTGGCCTTCAAACTCTCTGCCAAATCCTGACCGCTATGTCGGGGAGGTTCGTAGATATCCGTTTTGTACGGGTTTGGAGATTCACGGGTGGAATTCAGTTTCTAGTCTCCAGTTGGACTGCCTTCTGATCCCCAGACGCGCCGCTGGC